AGGATAAAAGAAAAAATTTCCACTTCAGTTCATGGAAAAGGGTCAAATATACCCCTCTACTACCGAAAATTGTTTTAACTTACCCTCCGTTTCACTATCAGTGCATTTGTTACCCAACCGTTACACTTTGGTTCAAAAATACCCTTAATTTGGATGGAATGCCACGCACATCGGGACTAAAGAGACCCACCCCAAATTTTATTTACCTGAATCCATACTAACCAACCCCATAACCCGAACCCAAACAAACACATAGCTCCACGGAAATCTCACTGTGAAATTCGAGAATCGATGGTCCGGTGCAGCTTTCCGTCCAGCTTTTTCATTTTCATTTACCTGTTTAATGATTGAGTCCTGTATGACCATTCAAAAAGAGTCTCCACCTTTTAGTTAGAACAGAGTACAATGCCAGTATATCTTCTCTCTTTTTTTGGTCGATAAGGACGACGAAAGTTATATCTTCTCTATCATGAAGGAAACCTATACCTGAAGGATATCAGATTCCGCTTTAGCTTGGGATATTGGGTTTTCTGCAACAACCTGCTTGCTGTTCAAGGAAATGATCACTAACAAAGGTATTCAACAATGGACTACATGAGGAATAAATAACTTTGGGTAAAGTCTTCAGTAAAATATGGTACTTTAAGTCTTTAACCAACCAAGACTATGCTTTTACTTTAGATGGACCTCCTAAATACTCCTAAATTAAATCCATAACATCATTGTCATTGTAACATAGAAAGAAACATGAAGAATAATGAAAGAGATTAAGAGCTCAACCGTGTAATTTTTGGCTCAAGCAGAAAAAGATTCTCTTCTATTTCCACTTTTCCATTTCTTAGCTAAATGGGGAAAAGAGTGGAGGAGTCATCTATTCAGCGCTTGCAAACTGAATGTAGCAGTAATATGCTGTTCTCATTTCCACTTTTCTTTAGTTTCCAGTTAAGACACCATAGATTTTCTCTTCCATTTTGACCAACATAGTTTTTCTTTCTTCTACTCATGAAACATTCAAAACCATTGTTGCAAAACCTACACTAGTACTGCAACTGTACTTAAGTTTAATTTTTTTTAGGGGGGTGGGGGTGGGTGGGTAGAATCTGGTGGGGCTAAAATCCCTACTAGAAAGAAGAGTAGCTGTGTCAGGTTATGGTGGGTTAGTATGGATCCGGATAAATAAAATCTGGGTTAGATCTCTTTAATCCTGAAGTCCCACGTGTCATTCCGTCCAAATTAGGGGTATTTTTGAATCAAAGTATAACGGCAGGGGTACAAACACACTTATAGTGAAATGGAGGGTACGTTTAAGCAAATTTGGTATATTTGGCTCATTTTCATTCAATTTATGAACCGTGAACCAGGTTACTTGTACGGGAGAGTGTTAGAGATATAATCACCCCATAGTGTCATCCGGGTTTATAATGCTGAGCTACTCCATGCACGCCTGGTTTTGAGTTGGATGATTAAATTCATTCTCCGCGAGATTCGTAGAAAAGTTGGAGAAGGCACTGATAATGTGAACTTAAAAAGTATGATGAGGTCTCCCTTTCCATCGAATGAAGTTAAGTTTGCTCAACCCACAGGAAGATGCTGGAATTAAATAGTTGTTCAGTGAGTAATAGTCTGGTTTGAGCTGTTTAACTGATTTTAAATACACAAAGTTCAAAGACTTGTTGAAAGGCCGAGTGCTGGTGTGTTGAGACATAATAAAGTAATTAAAAGTGTGCTCTCTCGAACATTTTAAGCTTAATCTTGGTCATACTTAACATGGTATCATAACAGGCACATCTCTTGGGTTCAAATTTCACTGCCACAAAAAAAGGCAAAAATATATTCACATGTTTGGCCCATGAAAAAAGAACCAGGCCAACACGTGAGGCCCGCGTTGCGACATAATATAATTAAGTACTAACTAAGACTGTGTTCTCCCTAACAGCTTAAGCTTTTAGATGAGATAGCCACACACTTATATAGGGTGGTTCTGTTCTATAACAAGGAGAAACACAAATAATGAGGAGCTACTATATGTGAGCTTGGAATTGTATTGGTTATCCTTCATAAGCTATTTAAGATTTGGGAAAATATTGAGAACCAAGATCTTCCTACTGCTCTTTTCCATTTTTCTTTTGTATCCTAGGGGTTTTTTTTTTTTTGGTTT